AGTGGCATGCGCCGCGGGATGCGATGGAGGCTGCGCTTGGGGAGAGATCGCGGTTACTGGTTTGTTTGCCGTTGGGGTCGATCGACGGGTGCCACTGCGACCGCGGCCATTAGGCGGTTGTGCGCATGCCATCTCAGCTTGCCTGTCCCCACGGCATCCGTCGGTCAGCTTTAAGCAGTGCAAATAGGCTGCGTGGCGCATATACTCGATTCTCACTCATCATCATCCTGACTCCATCCGGATCCCGATACCTTAATAGTGTCTGTATCTGCCATGCCTCGCGGCTTCCATCTCCAAGTTGCCTGCGTGCACATCCGCCGCACAGCCATACCCGACGGATCCGCCGTCACTAACGCCGCTTGCATATCCTCGACTCCGCCCCTGTCAAGCAAGCAATCTCCTTAAGGCACGTCCGTTCTGAAGACCCCATCAGCATGTGGTCTCCATTCGGACGGAACACCATCCACCAGCCATGGGAGGTCATCGGCTCCAAGAGCGTCGAGCCCGTGCTCACATTCGACGACCACGACAGTGAGTTTGGCTATTGCGACGCAGTCACCTCAAACTGAGCTTTTGCAGACCTGGACATCGTGCGCGCGAGCCCGATTGACATCAGCGCGAAGAGCGTGTTCGACGTCAAGCCGCCGTTCGTGCGCGCGAGCGCAGACGCTGCCCACCCGCGCAGGTTCGACCTCGAAAGCGCGCTGCGCACTGCGCGTTCGCGCCTGCTGAAGGAGGCCGCGCGCCTCGGGTACAACGTCTTTCTGCTCGAGGGGTGAGTCCTTCACCCCCGATGCCCATGCACTTTACCAAGCCCTGTCATCACAGCTGGTCAGTCACCCTCATGCGCAAGCACGTCCATACGCCCCCGCCCTCTCCGCCCCCTTCTGCCTCGTCCGCCGCCCCGCTCTCCCTGTGCCGCTCTTCCAGTACCCCTTCCCAGCCGCTCGACCCGCATTCACTCTGGCGCGTGTCCATCCTCTACAAGGCCCGGCCCGCACTCGCGCGTAGTCCCCCGCCGAGACAGTATCTTCCGCCGCC